TTTTTTTCGGCAAAAAACCGCCTTGCTATACATGGTCGTTTTTTTCGGCGAAAAACGCCTGACTCTACATGGTCGTTTTTTTCGGCTAAAAACGCCTTACTATCCATAGTTTTTTTCGGCTAAAAACACCTTACTATACATGGTCTTTTTTTTCGGTTAAAAACGCCTTCCTATACATGGTCATTTTTTTCGGCGAAAAACTCTTTTCTATACATGGTCTTTTTTTCGGCTAAAAACGCCTTACGATACATGGTCGTTGTTTTTGTTAAAAAACGCCTTACTACACATGGTCTTTTTTTCGGCTAAAAACGCCTTACTATACATGGTCGTTTTTTTCGGCTAAAAACGCCTTACTATACATAGTCGTTTTGTTTGGCTAAAAACGCCTTACTATACATGGTCTTTTTTTCGGCTAAAAACGCCTTACTATACATGGTCGTTTTTTTCGGCGAAAAACGCCTTACAATACATGGTCGTTTTTTTCGGCGAAAAACGCCTTACTATACATGGTCTTTTTTTTCGGTTAAAAACTCCTAACTATACATGGTCTTTTTTTCGGCTAGAAACGCCTTACTATACATGGTCGTTTTTTTTTCGGCGAAAAACGCCTTACTATACATGGTCGTTTTTTTCGGCGAAAAACGCCTTACTATACATGGTCGTTTTTTTCGGCTAAAAACGCCTTACTATACATGGTCTTTTTCTTCGGTTAAAAACGCCTTCCTATATATGGTCTTTTTTTTTCGGTTAAAAACGCCTCACTATACATGGTCTTTTTTTCGGCTAAAAACGCCATCCTGTACATGGTCGTTTTTTTTCCGCTAAAACCGCCTCAACTATACATGGTCGTTTTTTTCGGCTAAAAACGCCATCCTGTACATGGTCGTTTTTTTTCCGCTAAAAACGCCTCAACTATACATGGTCGTTTTTTTCGGCTAAAAACGCCTTACGATACATAGTCGTTTTTTTAGATTAAAAACGCCTTCCTATACATGGTCTTTTTTCGGCTAAAAACGCCTTACTATACATGGTCGTTTTTGTTTAAAAACGCCTTAATATACGTGGTCGATTTTTTCGGTTAAAAATGCCTTCCTATACGTGGTCTTTTTTTCGGCTAAAAACACCTTACTATGGTCGTTTATTTTCGGCCAAAAACGCCTGACTGTACATGGTCATTTTTTGGCTGTAAAAACGCCTGACAAATGCATGGCTGTTTTTTTTGTTGTGAAAAACGCCTTCCAATGCTTAAAAAAAAACTTTCCAAAAAAAAAGTCTTACTCTACATGCGCTCATATTTCAAAATAAAGAGTCTTATGTAGGGACAATGTTGAGTGCTCATGATCTGTCTGTTCGTCGAATGGTTAGTGCGGCTGCGTCACAGTGCAGAGGTACATGGTATGATTCCGGCTCCGACCGACCTGTGTGTTCTCAAAAATGTGCGTGGCCCTCCATTTTCTGATCCTTCTCCGCATTCACACTCACCCCTATGGACAATCTGAAATTCTCATTACCTCCCTAGTAGTCGAATGGTAACTTCGTTGCCGTTGTGCTGTGGAGGTGTAGGGTTCAATTCCGACTCCGGCCTTCCTGCGTGTTCTCAAAATGTGAATGGCGATGCATTTTTTGCTCCTCCGTACAACTCTTCACGCTCACACCGACTGACAATGTCAAGTGTTCGTCACCTGCCCGGTTGTCAAATGGTTAGTGCGTCTGCGTTGTTCTGCAGAGGTGCAGAGTTCGATACCGGCTCTGGCCTACCTGTGTGTTCTCAAAAATGTCTGTGGCCATGCATTTTTTGATCCGCTTCTCCGCACAATTATTCACACCATGGGACAATTCACATCACGCCTTACGATACATGGTCATTTTTTTGGGCTAAAAACGCCTTACTATACAC